ACTCAGCTTCTGTTGTTGATGTTGCAACGGTTCTCTGTTTACGTGATTCCCATGACACTGCTGAACCACACATTTGGAAAACATATCCTGTATAGGATCGTCTGTCCACCAGATTACCACCATGATCGGCATCAGCAAATCCTATTAGATCACCACTATTGTTATAGATCAGTTTCCTATTTTTTATAGCCTTCAGGTACCGATGAACACGTTTCGCAGCTCTCCAATGTACCGAGATAAAACTTCTTCTATACAAACACTACTTTGCCGAAGTTACTTTTGTAGGGCAAAATGTTTTAAATTATCAATTCTGAAGATGGATCAAGGTATTTTATTTCACTCAGCAATTGGGGGTACCTAATTGCACCTCTTAAAATTTTAAATAATATAAATTGTTTCACATCTATCATTAAACGCTAACTATCGATCGTCAAAAAGTAGAAATTTGCAACTTTTTAGAAATCGTTAATTTTGACAGATGAAACGTTCGGATTTAGTAAGGTTTCAGTAGCGTTTCGATCCAACGAAGTGTCAAAATTTTAGTGGAATAAGGGCCGACGATCGACTTAAGTATATGGACGTAGTTATGCAAACCAGCCACATGATGTCAGTTTTGAGAAAAATGGGTTTCTTGTTTTTAGTAATAATTGTTTGTAGAATATATTTTATTTTATTTATTTATCAAGAAATTTTGTGAATTTACAACATTTGAGTTTAATTGCAACACTTTTAGGCTTCTCTGCACATAATTCGATTTTGACAGATTTGTGGGTTGGTTCCGGTTTGCATAACTACATCTGTACAGTTCTATGTTCGATTGAGCGAGTAGAATACCGTTTACAGTTTCTGTTGATCGATAGTTAGCTAAACTAAAATAGAACCGGAACTGTATCGTTTGACGCCATTTTGACACAGAGTAGAATAGGAAAACCACTAAAAGTTGTAGTTTCGTTCGGTTTCGTTCCGTTTTCGATTCGATTTAAACAAAATTTATTTAGTAGAATTGGCCCCCAGGTAGTTTTCCCGCGACGTTGCGCCATAAGAATAAAATATTTACGTAATTAAATTGCAATTACTTATTTTTACATAAAAATGGATTCAAGATTTACACATACTTTATTCAATTTATTGGAAAAGGAGGTAATGTTGAATAACAAACCTGTGGAAGGATAACTTTGATGGTTAGAGGGTTTTTTAAGTTTGTGGTATTAAGCTGCTGATGTAATAAGTAAGGCGGTGTTATTTGGTTAAACAACTCAAAAGGAAAAATGGAACACTTAAGATCACTTGATTACTATATCTGTTATGGATCGAATGAGTGGATATGTGGTACAGATATGTAGGTAAATTGGTGACCCAAAGGAGGTCGTGCAACGTGAATAAATGATTTGTAAAACATGGAGACTTCATTTGGGAGGCAACCATTTCTACCTTGTCTTCGAAACTACTGGGCTTTTAATACAAATACGGTTAGTTGCACAAATGTCCACAAATTAAGTTTAATTATGACTTTAAACCCTAATGAATGTTCCAAATTTTAAAATTTGTATCGCTAATATCGTATTAAACTAATGAATTATATTAATTTGTGCAAAGTCTGGGTGAAAAGTCTTTTACCTATTAGATTAAAGGATATCTTGATATTTGCAGAAGGAAAGGGTTCTGCAAATATCAAGATATCCTTTCGTTGGTTTTTTATTTTATTGAGAATAAATATCGCATTATACTCATATTTACTGCAAATTATTTTCTTTTAAAGTTCTGGAATGTGAATTGACTATAGTCATTTTTGTGTATTAGCATAGGTAAATTGGAAGCGTGTTTCTTTGAAGAAGCCGGTTATAATAAATTAGGGGTTCTTTGGCATAGAACAAACATTTTTATTGTGCCCTACGCCGTAAGAGGGTAGGGAGTGGGGTGCCCTCTACTTTGCGCATGCTTTGTGCGCTCGCCACCTTTGCACGACCCATTCCGGCACACCGTGACTTCAGTCTACAGCTGTGAGGCTCAAGGCGACATATAGCTCGTGCTTTTACTCCTCGACAAACGGTTAGGACCATAAAATCCTATACAGGAAAAAAGTAAGTTAATCAATTTTCTTAATACTGTTAATAGATTTCAGTAATTTCTGTCTCGAAGTAATATTTATTTTTAAAGGAAAAATATAGGTTTTGTTATACTAAAAGCTATTACAGGACATGACGCGAACGATTAATTAGTGATATGGGTTCTAGTCTGAATTGCCAATTTAAAAAATGTGTAGTTTTTCCTTGGGATTAAAAATAGACGTCGTGAGTTTCATATGACGATGATCGTCAATTTTTACCGCGTATTTTTGCTATTAATGGCGTCGTCGGCAAATCGATACATTGAGGCCATGTGGTTACAGTGATTTCTTTTGATTAATTAAGCAGAGAAGTACTTATACAAAATAGACTTTAAAATGAAACTTAAACGAGAATTTATTTATTTTTACAGAAATGATGAAGCCAAAATTATACAAACCGCATCACCAGCTCGAAAAAATTTTTAAATATCCAACATTGTGACGTACACCAATATAATCAAACTTTGGATTAAATAAGTACTTCATAATATTTTGAATTAAATATTTAAATTATTATATAATTACTTTTTGAAACGTAATTATTGTCGGTAATAAGTATTTAAGTAGATATTTGTCTATTCTCTACTTACCACTTTAAGATACACGATAGCTATTTTTATATGGAGGGTTGGTGACTGTCTCCTAATAGGAGAAAAGGATTGTTGTTAAGTAAACGGTGTTGTAAAGCCAAGCTTATTGTTAAAGAGAAAAAGAATAAAAGAGCGGTACAATAGGTACCGATTATATTAATGCAATGTGGAAAAACAATGGATTTTTATTTAGGGCATTAAATTAGAAATATATAACATGGAGCCTTATTCAGACGACTTGTTTTGGTTGGTGATATGCGGTTTTTTGGTGGCTTTCGTGTTGGCCTTTGGCATTGGCGCCAACGATGTAGCCAATTCCTTCGGCACTAGTGTTGGATCTAAGGTGCTTACTCTAACACAAGCCTGTATATTGGCGACCATTTTTGAAATAGCTGGTGCTGTTCTAATAGGTGAGTGGGAAATATTATATTTAAAATTATGAGCGAGACAGAAGAAAGAAACACAAAATTCGTAATAAATGAAATCAAATAATGTAATTTTTCTAAAGAAATCTTATGCTTTGTAATGAAAATTTCTGGAAAAATCTCCCTTCTTTTACGTTTGTATACTTAAGTATGTACGTTACGGTGTTTATAACAAACACGTATCTGACAACGCGTGGGAGGTTGGCTGTAATTTCACTATAAGGGTCTTTTTACCTTTGATATATCTCTGTGAATGGAAAATGAATTGAGTACTTTCAATTTGTTACCGAAAACAGGGTTTTATGCATAAATAAATTACTTTGTTAATTTATTAAAAGGAAAACGATGATTCGCTTTTTATATAATCTTATCATCAGTCCTTTTACGTCCCCATTACAGGGACTTAGGCCTTCTTTATGGATGATGATCCTCCACGCTGGCCCAATGCGAATAGGAGGGTATTAACGACTGCAAATGCAGCTGGGACCAACGGCTTAACGTGCCTTCCGAAGCACGAATTAGCTCGAGATAACATTTGTTTGGTCCCCCATCCCATGGACAGACCCTTGCGAAAGTTGCTTAACAACAACGATCGCGGGTCGCGGCGTTCATCCTCTACGCTACGCCACCGAGCTACTTCTATAATCTAGTAGATAACCTTTTTAAAGTATTTAATTATGAATGAATTTATTATGTAACACTGTTTTCTCACTTTACTCGCGTAAGATGTAGTTTCCAAGAGGTCAAAGAATACCGGAAATTGGTCCAGTAGTTTCAGAGAATTTCAGAGAATCCTATTCGATACAAATGCACAACCAAACAACAAATAGATGTAAGAATGACAAAAACTAAAGCAATGATAATTCAGATTGAACTGAAATTTCTGTTTCACAAACTGTAGGATTTATTTATGAGATTCCATATTTAGTGTGGTAATGTCTATTAGTATTTATTAAATACAAGTAGTGTATATTAAATAATCATAATATTGGTTTACGAACAAGAAGTCATTTTTTTTTATTTTATTATATAAAATATAATATAATAAAATATATAATATAATAATTCTTAATTTTATTCCACAAAATCATATCAAATTTATCTTTTAATTTAAGTATGGAATATTGTCGCCTAATAAGGCCAACTGATTTTAATTATCAATAATTCACTTACAGTCGTATGCTCACAGATCCTTAAAGATGGAAGAACTAAACCTATTTCAGTTGGGTTTTATGCCCCATAGTGATCAAAAACAGCAATTCTTACTAAGCGACAGTAGTTTATTTTATTAACAAATGCAGGCTACAAAGTATCGGACACAATGCGCAAAGGAATACTAGACGTTTCTCTGTATGCTGACGGCGGAGAGCATCTGCTTGCTGCTGGGTGCTTGGCAGCTCTTATAGCCGGTGCGACATGGTTGATGTTAGCTACGGCATTGAGGTTACCTGTATCCGGGACCCATTCAGTGGTAGGAGCGACAGTTGGCTTTACCCTTACTGCTAAGGGACCAATAGGCGTGCGATGGTCGACGCTTGGCGCCATTGGTTAGTAGTAAAATATATCTTATATTAATACGAGCTAGCTGATCCGATACACATTGTCCTGTCTTAATCATGAATATTGAATTCGAAAATTTTTTTTATGTAACATATATATACATATAAGATTCGCAAAGATAGACATAATATTTTTGTATTTATGATTTCAGAAAGTAAACTTCTTTGACTTTTGATATTTTTACCTTTGTCCAGTCCTTGGAATTTTCCGTCACTAGTGTAGTTTCAAGTTTGTATCGAAAGATCATTTAAATTTAAAAGATTGTAATAGCTTTTTTTAGGGTAAATTAAAGTGAGCTAATTCTAATTTCAGTTTTGTCATGGTTCATCTCACCAGTACTCAGTGGCACAGTGTCAGCGTGTTTGTATTGGTTGGTACGTCGGTTCATACTGCGTTCGCCGCAACCTCTTACCGTAGGCCTTCGCGCTCTACCATTCTTCTACGGTTTCACTTTTGCCATTAATGTATTGAGTGTGGTGCACGACGGCCCTAAGCGTGAGTATCATTTATTAAAGTATAATTAATAGGTTGTTCCATTATGATCACTCTGCTTTATACATTATCTTAGAAAGTCTGAATTCTAAGGGATGTCATTGCGACAAATACATACATACATTAGGACATTCATTGTGAGATCAGATGCCTTACTTGTAACTCATTAACATTGTGGATTACAGCATGTTGTTAACATTTCTAGCCGACAGCATATGTCTACCCGCCTTCATGACGATTGATTCCTCCCTCAAGATAGATAGACATATTGTCGGTATAGCTCTTACTGGTCCTCCTGCCTTCCCCATAGACCACCTCGACCTCCAGAATCTTTCACAATTACTCTTATCATCACACATCTTTATGTATCTCTCAATGCATTTCCTCTTCACACAATTATACAATACATTTTATAATACATGTGCAACTCGCCCAGTCAGCAGTCTTTACTGTTCTCAGGCCTGACAGTTTCTTTAATTCAACATTCACATGTCTCCTTATCATTGTAACACAACTACTCAAACTCTTATACCTTTCATCATTATAGCACTGACTTTATTGTTCATTGTCAAAGAATTATTCTCCCTTTTTTTACTCTCCATAATTTATGTCAAAGTAATGACGATTTTACACAGTGTTACCAAGATAAAATAAATAATATTTAGTTCGGAAATCGCATGTTTTGCGACACGTAAATATAAAAAGTTGTTAAAATATTGTGTTTTTCAGTATTAGCGATGGATGACATACCTTTGTGGGCCGCTTTTGGAGCTTCAGTGGCGTTAGGCGTTATATTGGCAGGCTGCGTACGCGCATTTCTAGTTCCATATTATCGGAGAAAACTTTCCCCTCCTGTAAATTTCACTTTAGGTTTGTCAAATGGTAAGAATTGTTTTATGTCAAACGTTGAGAAAACTTTTACGAATGATATAGTTTAGTCGATATCTAGCAACCTTATAGAGCTCTCGTATTTTTCAGCAAATATATATTTTTTTATATTTTGTTGAAGAACAAATAGTTGTATACATTTTATTACCGCAAAGTATTAACTAAAAGAAAAGCTACAGTTATTTAAATTACAATAATTATATATGATAACATCACATACGTTGCTCAGATTTCAAGACGCGTTGAGACAACACCCAGATCTGATACAATATAGAAAAGTCCAATTAATACATCGATTCGACCCGAAATTGTACCCAGGACCTCAGAGATGGCGTTGGCTACGGAATTTGACTACACCGCATAATATTACTTTAATTGTATTTATGCATACGCTCTTAAAACAAACTGACAATTGTTATATCATTTTTATGTGTCTACTATTTTTATTTTCAGAAACCACACCTGCAAATACACCAACACATTCAAACAAACATCCACCTCAACGACCCACCTCCCTTCTCTCCGAAGATGGAAAGGTACTCGAAGCGATTGCGGAAAGCGCCGAAATGGTGACGCTCAGTGATGCCGATAGAGTTTCAGTCGGAGTAAGAGAGATGAATGCAAGGAACCGAGCCTTGCTCGCGACCATGGACGATTGCAGCATTCTCTCTAGAAGCTTGAGTCCACCAAACAAGTCGAGACTTCAATTGATCGATGCCGATCCACAAATCAACACTCTTAAATATATAGATGAGACGATTAGTTTCTGCAAAAGTTTGGATTCATCACAACTTGCTGGCATGGGGGAGAGTTACGATTCGAGAAATGGATTTATTGGTGGTTCATGTGATACAATAGCGCGTGGTGAATTCGATAGACTCGCAGCCGCTAGAGCCACTCCGGCCGCTGTAGAGTTCGAGACGCCTCCTCCAAGATCAGAGAAAGTGAGTTCCTTTTTACTCCTACCTTACACAACGCGCAATTGGTTTTAAAATAAGGTGTACCCATAAGACTATTGTGAAATTGTGTATTTATCACATATTTTCCGAAGATTTGACTTTCCGAGGAGATTTACTACCTTTGTAGGTATATATCGATTTAAATTTTTGTTGTGATACTAGTATCTGCTTACATCGAGTACTCATAGTTTGTTATAACGAGCTACTCAGTACCTTAAAAGAGTTTGGTAAAATCATTGGTCTCATGAGTCACCATGAGTATGCGACTCTGTTGCAGGTGTGTTGTTCGCTCGATGGCGCAATACATGAATAATTCTTCTGCTTAGCCGTTTGCCTTGCTACGACATTTAGTCTTCTGTATACATAAGAGAACGACATAAGCTATATCTTACTGTACAGGGTCCGGAGGGTAGTGCGTGGTCGATTGAGTGTGACGTCCGCAGTCGGCTGGCCGCCATCACGCCCAACTCTAGCGCGGCGCCATTGCTTCGTCCCGCCAGCCCCCCGCCCGCACCGCCCTGCCCCGCTCCCCCGCCAGACACTTTGAAACTGTTCTCTTTTCTACAAGTCCTCACTGCTTCGTTTGGGGCTTTCGCTCACGGTGGTAACGATGTCAGGTAATTTATCTTTACTACTTACTAGTGCATGTTATGTTCAAAATAATTTTCAATGTTTTTGGGAATATAGCAAACAAAAAAAAAAACTTAAATGCATGTTTTATTATTACCAACACGAATATATAGTGTCATGGTTAATAATTCCACAAAAATCTTTGAAAAAGACTTTCTAGAAGTAGTAAGGTATTCGATGCGCCTTCACATTGATAGTTAAGAACTGCTTGAGATCATATTATGCCTACTTAGACAGCGAGCTACCTATCCCAGGTTGAGTTCATGTTTTCGATTTCGGTTGAATAACACCCAGGGGAGTTTAGTGAATTCGTTTATCCTATCTTCCCGTTGCAGTGTTGTATACGCGAGTATTTACTCCTATCCCAACAAAAGGTACACCGTATACTTATGTGCGTCTCATATACCTATTTAGTGTGCAATAGTCCCGGTGATCAAACGAGAGAAACTTTGAGAACAAAAAAATTTGCAACATTGGTTGTTGTATAAAAATAACCTTTCCTGTTTTCTTCGATGTAGACCATAATGAGGAAACTTCATTTATGATCTAAATCCAAGTAAACAGGCAAGTGTTTGCTTGTCTTTTTCGCGCCACAACAGAAGGACGTTATAGTACGATTTTTGTGTGGAAAGTCTTTATTATTTATCTTTGACAAGCTTTTGCTTGCAACTTCGTACGTGTGGTATAGTTACTTTGGGCAGCATTTTTAAAAACGCCATAACAAATATTTATCCATTACATCGTGTCAAATACTTTAATATAAAGTTTCATGATTTTAACTTTGGCAATGACGAACTTCCATACAAAATTTAATTCTCCATGTCAACCTTTTATCACAATAAAAGCAACCTATATCAAGTTGCTATGTCCTGAAGTCAACTCTGTTAGATATAAAAGTATAACAGATATATACACGATTATTTATCTTTCATTACACGAATAACATAGATTGATGACTTATGATATGTTTTTCAGCAATGCGATAGGTCCACTAGTGGCGTTATGGTTGTTGTATTCGGAGGGCGGCGCTCATGCCCGCGCGGAGACTCCTCTCGCCATCCTGGTGTTCGGGGGCGTGGGCATCGCCGCCGGACTGTGGTTGTGGGGCCGAAGGGTTATACGGACTGTGGGCGAGGACCTTACCAGCATCACGCCTGATACGTTAGTCATTAATATCCAGTTACTTACTACTAATCTGAGAGAAACTCATTGCTCTGAAATCTTTTTAGCACAACATATTTGGCATAATTTTCTTTTGAGGAATATATGAGGCATAAAAACCAGTGGCGGACTAACAATATTGGGGGTCCGGGGCGGCAAGCACCCCTCCGCAGGTGCTTCCTTCCGACAGGTTTCCAACCCGAATTTATAATGCGATTAAGAGACTTTGCAGTGCATTTTGTAGATGTATAATGAGTATTGATGTTATGGTTTTAATTTTTAATTATTATGTATAGTTTTCGTCTCAAAGTTATGAATTTCAAATGTAAATTATATTAGTGCATGACAAACGATCTTCAGCAAAATAACATTCGCTCTTCTGCGTAATAAAATTAAGAGAAAAAGTTCTGTCTTAAAGGCGGAACCCCTACTACGCTTTTCTCCACCGTGACGGATGTCCCCATACCATCGGGAACTTTAATAAATTACTGAATCACTCAAATAAATACTCAGGATTTCCACCACCTGTCCTTAACCTGACTGAGTACCTTAGAGTACTTTACTGTACTTAGTACTTTACTGTACTTAGTACTTTACTGTACTTAGTACTTTACTGTACTTAGTACTTTACTGTACTTAGTACTTTACTGTACTTATTACTTTACTGTACTTAGTACTTTACAATACTGAAGTAAGTATCAACCGTTAAGACTTACAGTTCTTTATTGTTTTATTTTTGTTTTTTTTGTGTTAGTTTCGTGAAGCTGTGTATCTAGATGTGATTGTTTTTTGTTCAGAGGGTTCACGATAGAGTTGGGTGCTGCGCTGACGGTACTGGTGGCAAGCAAGGCGGGTCTACCAGTATCCACTACACACTGCAAAGTTGGCTCCGTCGTTTGTGTTGGATACTTCTCAGAAAAGGCCGTCGATTGGAGCCTCTTCAGGTCAGTGTTATATAAAAGCATTTTTTTGTATAAATTAATGCCTTTATGCAAATATTTCAGTCAGTCAACTGGTTTCTGCACCGAGACTTAGTGCATTACTGATCGAATTTCGTAAATCTGTCATCCTATTACTTAGTTATTATAAATATTGTTTACTTTTCTCATTTCAATAGAGAAAAAAAAAGAGGATACAGAGATAGCAGGTTCAGGATGTGAAATGGGTTGAAATGTAATGTTGGAGGGGCTGGTAGAAATGTTTTACAGATTTTACGCCCCGAATGGATTGAATAGTAGCGAGAATGTTTCTCGTTAGGTTAAAAAGGGTACATTTATTTATTTATCATTTTATCAGTAAAGTAATATTATAAAGAGGGAAGGTTTATTCGTTTGTTTGCGTGCAATGAGTAGTCTCCTTAACTGCTGGCCCAATTTCATACCCGACATAATACTTGGGTGGCACAGGCTACAAAACACCTAGTAGATTATTATTATAGTAATAGTTTATTGAGATATAGTTATATCTTTAAAATGCATACATTATTTTCATACCAACGTTATATCTGTTTTTCTTATAGGAATATAATATTTGCGTGGGTTGTCACTGTTCCGGTCGTGGCTGCCATTGCCGCATTGGCTATGTTGGCGCTCGAAGCTTTTGTCGTATAAACTAATTGTTGCGATAAACAGACATTTATTTATCTTCTGTATACAATTTTCGCACTGAGGGAATATTTGCATGACATGTTGTGAGCTCGCTTTGGGACCTATTATTAAAATTTATGAAACCAGAATACGGCGAAATTAAAATATTCTTTACTCAATAAAAAAAAATCTAGGTATGATTGAATTATCCATAATTTTTTACCTGCCTCCCGTTCAGGCCGGCTTTTGACCGACAAGAATTGTGGGTACTTATAAATCAATTAACTACCAAACACACATCGTATCATCATAAAAAAATACTAAAGTAATGGTTAAATATCGATAGAAAAAAACAATTTTGTTATAAATATTTCCTCAGTTCGACCCGTAAAAGACAATCAGTTTGGATTACATGACGATGTTTTATATATTTTGAGTAGTTTTAATACTTTTTTAATTTTTGTCGTAAGTAAAAATTTTTCGTTGAAGAAAAAGCGACTTACCTGCCTAGAGCGGTAAAAACTTTTAGTTCCATTGTATTAATTGGATAAGTGTCCGAATTTTTCAACGTTTAAATTTTAATTATTGCTTTATTCCATGTTGTAAACGCAAGAAATACTTTTAAGATGAGCATTATTGTACACTTGAATTATTTTGGTTTATTTCTGATTGCATTTGAAGGCAGTGAGAAGTATTAGCTACATGTACGTACGTGTTAGATATTAATAGTGGTGTCATTTGGCGTTATAGCTACAAACTAATATACTTAGCTGTAGCTAGAATTGTCTGTCAGCTATTTTATTACGGGTAATCTAGGCATGTGATATGATCCTGGCAATGTAAAAAGTTGCGCCGTAATTTCAAAAGGTATCGCGATACCAACCAAAAGTGTTGTTGCTATAGCGATAGTCTATCGATAATATAGTGATTCTGCAGTTTTGAGATCTTATCGAAATATAGATAGTTCAACTCTAAGCCCTAGTTATATTATAAGGAAAGTAATTCTGTCTATCTATCTGTTACGATTTCACGTTTTATTGTTTCGTTTAAACTACTGATCCGCTTTTAATGAAATTTGTCATTATAAACGGGTTGAAATAGGAGATAAAAGTTTGTCGTTGAAAGTATACCACTCGAACTAACTAAGTAAAGGCAAACGCTAGTACCAATGTCAGCGTAAAAGCTTACAGTGGACCAACGCATTTGAAGTTGTGTTAAATGCCGCTTTTGCCACAGGGTTGTCACATTTTTTATTATTGTTTTAGTATAAATATTTCCACATTTTCTCGTGGTAGTAAGAAGGGTATCGATAATATATATAATATAAAAAGAAAAATATATTGTAAAACTACAAAAAGCAAAACATTCCATAAAATGTATAATTTCCCGACTGGTCTGTCACAAGCTGGGGCCCAATTGTCTAATTTTAAATCCATCGCGATTACTTTCAATTTGACATTTGAAAGATATTCATGAGTTTCTCGTTTCAGCTATTTAACATGTTGGAATGTCAAATACGTGTATGTTGACGTTTATTGGAAGATATTGAATGAATGATATTTTTAATTTGACGTTTATTATTAATTTTCTAAGGAGAAAAGAAAGTTAGACATAAATATCTTTGAAAGCCAAACGAATACGAACTGCAGTCTTTCGATGGGCTTAGTTATTCAAATCATAATTTTTTCCGAAAGCGTTTCACGTTACTATCTTCCATAATCACTATCACAAACGCTATACGGGATTGCGATCGATGTTAAAAAAGACAATTCGCGCACTGATGTACGACAGCTTGGGTTCGCTGTCTTGCCCCTCACGATTGCTGTATCTAGACGTTCCGGTCGATTGCAAGTACTATATGTTTAGACTTGTATTATCGAGATGATTGAACAGTGTCGAATATCTATATTTCACTGTCGATAGTAAGAAAGCCGATAGTATCATTCGTCCTATCAGAAGCGTGACTGTTTTTCAAGGTTAACTATCGATAACGAAACTATCGCTATTGAAACAACACTGCAACGTAATGACCTTTTGAATGCGATGCAAAAACCGCTCTTGAGACACTTAAATAGCACCATCTCGCTTCGACCACTCCAATAGACCTATGCGTAGGACGGAATTTGTATAACTTTTAAATTTCAAATGTTTTTGGAAATATCGAAAGATGTTTTTATTCACTAATTAGACTATAAGTTGGTTATTTTTCGGATGATGAGGATTTTCAGAGGTAGCCCTCTTTTCTTGTCATCCATTGCATAAAAAGAAAGAATGTATTAAATTTTTTCGTTACAATTGTTGCGTATTTTTATTCTTTAATTATTAAGATTTCAATATTAATTTCTCAATAAATAAGGTTTTAGTAACTTGAGTCGATGAGGAAAAAGTCAAAAACCTATAGTAGAACAGCTCATGATAAGATATCCACATAAGCATGGTATCACCACTGAGTATTGAATATTAAATTTATACTTCTATTGATAGTGGTTGCGGTTATCAATGTTAGGTATTCGTTCTCAAAATTCCCAGTCCCACTTAAAATAACTATACACTAGCTTTTTCCTTAACTATTATTTAAACTCTTATATATTTTTATGACATTGAATAACTAAACGTGTACTAGCTATTATTGCATTACCATTGTCAATCGCAAATATTTCAATTAAATAATAATATTTAGTTTTAATAATAACGAGAATGATGATGTTATATCAATTTCCATTTACAAATACAGCAGAAATCGTCCATTGTTTCTTATATGTGAATTGGTAAATAATAGTGTATTGGTATTGGAAATGCACGTTGATGGCCTATAACAAAATGTGGGTAGCTTAATGCTTTAGTTTAGCAAAATTAACAAAAATGAGAAAAATAAATAAAACAATTATACATCGTTTTGTACGTCCAACTATTTTTTATTTGTACTTGGTAAATTAACTAGGTATCTGTTATGATATTTATGCTTTGTCGCGTAGACGAAACACTGTTTACTACATCACAATATTGTTGAATAAACATTACATAGTTGAAAAAGTTGTTTTATTTTGTCTGTTAATAAGTAATTATTCAGTAAATAATTTCTTGCTACGCTGACTTACACAAGTCAGACGATTTTCAAGTATGTATTTCAGAAAGTTAAAGTTTGTAGATATTTATGTAGATCATATCGATGGCGTAGTGGATAAGCGCCGCGGCCCGCGATCGTAGTCATTAAGCAACTTTCGCAAGGGTCGGTCACGGGATGGGTGACCAAAAAATTATTATATCAAGCTACTCCATGCTTCGGAAGGCACGTTAAAACGTTGGTCCTGGCTGCATTTGCAGTCGTTAATACCCTCCAATCCGCATTGGGTCAGCATGGAGGGTCATAGCCCATCCTCCTTAACCATCCATAAGGAAAGCCTGAGCCCCTGCAGTGGGGACGTAAAAGGGCTGGTGAAGTGAAGTGATGATATCATCATAGAGCTTTAAGAAAATACATACGATAATTGTTTGTAAAACAGAAAAAAGTTTAAAGCTTTCGGAAAAAATCGATAATAAGATAATCATTGGTTGGGCAATATTAGCCACTAAAACCCAAATGGTGATTGGATAACAGTGTTTTTTCATTGTTGATCCTCTTCTGAAATCGGTGCGAACCTCACCATTGATAAAACGATCGAAAAAGTTTGTTGATCTTTCCAAACAGGCACGTTTAAGGACTGGCTGGCTACTCAGAGGTGCTACCATCTAACTCTCTAGCCAAAGGATACAAAATCGTAGCGAATATACTGGCGATATTTCGGACATATTTCTACTTTGATATGGATAAATTTGGGATTAACGACTAAGTTATAACACTGCTGTCAAATTCTTATTCATTAAAAAAAAATCTGAAATTGTCGATTCCAACGAAGAAGCCATTTCATCTACAAAACAGGGAATAAAACAAATAAGATTTTTTCAGGGTTTGTAAAAAAATGTATTAGTACTAATACTCTACTAAGAGTATTTTATAACAGCCCTTTCATGAATGAAGAAACATGAAGTTCATGATTTTTGTCCCTTTGTCATTGTCACAGATGGTCTGTCTATCTATACAAATTCTACATCTGTCACACTTCGTCGACCTCATGTGATATAATTTATTGATGGGTTGTTAAGCTTTTAAAGCAACAGATTCTTGATTTGTGATTTTTTTTTTACAATTTAAGAATTTATTAAATTGTTCTGTTTTTTCAAATTATTAATTACCACATTCAGTCTGCTCGGTATAAATCTAGATTTATCTAAGTTGTTATCACTGAAACCCGGTTATCACGTAATATCAGGGAATTGTATCTATCTATCGCGGGCCTATCGAGATCTGCCCGGGCATATCACAATATGCCGCCATTTCTTGATTTGACCGTCTATCATCCGCCATATCTTCCAATGCTTAACGTTTGACAATTTGCCCGACTAAACTCAGGCCAATCGATTTTATAGGGTGGCCAAAGTATGTAAGCAGAGATGGGCAACACCCCGGGTTTTATTTATTTAAGCAATAAAAATCGAGCAAATCGAAAAATACTTTGCTCTTGGGACAAATCAAGAAATGTCAGCATATCGTGATATGCTCGGGCAGATCTTGATCGGCCCAATTCAACGATTTCAATTAGGAGACCTATAATATATACACAGAGCAAACTGGAACAGATATTTATGTTTTAATATGGCTATATGAGTTGTGACGAAACCTTACAACTCCGTCGCTTTCTCTATTTGGTACTCTATTACTATTGAGGCAAGGAACAAGAGTGATTAAAAAAACTCTCTATACAAATTTGTGACAGTCGAGTTTCTGTTTAAAGATTTATATGAACCATTTGGTACTTGAGACACTTGACTGCGATAAGTTATGTTGAGTTGTAAGCGTTAAAAATATATGTAAGAAAAAAAAATATGATTGGTCACTGAAATATTCAAGTTTGGTTGAGTTAAGCAATTAAAAACTAAGAAGAAAGTTTTTGAAGAAATTAGTAGTACAGTTTTGTATTATGTTGAGCTTACATAGAAAAGTAGGTAGATTAAGATATTGCTTTTCTGGTTATTTTATTTCATATTCATGAATCAACTGTTATTTACACAAGTATAGTCATAGGACATACACCTTTTTCGACTTTGAGAATTCTGTTTTAGTTTTTTTTTAAAAACAGAAATATTACGCGCCTTAAAAAAAGAAATAAAAAGATTCAATTCAAATTGATCAACTTACAGTATAATGATAATTTTCTGTTTTTTTTAATCGGTAAAAAATACGCTTAAGTCCTTGAGCAGTTAGGTATGACCTTGACAATTTTGTGATAATCTTCATTATTTTAATCAATTTATATGGTGCTGAAAAGGCTCCACTCTTTAAAATTATTATTTGAGGAAAATGGAATTATAAACAACATTTCAAGGACGATCGCGGGATCGATGTAGAAACTTAGTTTGTTTCTCTGTCTATCGAGGAAGGATGGCAACGTGTTGATAAAATAACCGGAGCATTATGGGAGTGTTGCAAGCTTTGATTTTATCCCAAAAATAATAGAAATTTCATAATATTTGACAGTATTTCAAAAAGTATGTTATATCAAATTATTTTTATTAAATACTTACAAAAGTTATTGTATGATTTTATTACAGATCTTCGCGCAGATTTGCTTATAAATTATTTTGATGTTTCATTAATATAGCACTTACAAAAATATGATTGCTATATATTAGACAGGAAAATATTCAATTTTCTTTGTACGTATTTGAAATTTGTCGCGAAAACTGTTTTCTTTTATTTTTCAATTCATGTTTTTCACAAGGACAAAAAAGATTCATAGAATTCCAGACATCTATTTCAGTGTGAGATTATTTGGTGAAAGTTGCTTATGTCTTTACATAAAGATATTTATTTTACATTAAAATAAAACAATTACTATTTATTTATACTTTTAAGTTTTTATTTCGTTAAAATTACATGAAGGCATGGTCAGCAGGTATTATAAAACGATATAGTTGGTTTCATGTAACTTTGCCCGCGTTAATTATAATCTATGTTATCCGTGTATGACGTTTGGAGATTATTCAGTACCAACAATAAAAAATACCTTTTTTTGTAATATTACGAGGGCGGGATGATAAATAGCTAGCCAAGCTTAGAAAAACTTTAATTTGTGTGTTAAAAGTATATTTATTTTTCGACATAGTCTCATTAAAGCGCTATCCATCTATGCTCTAAAGCCTTGATGCCATCCCTGAAGTGGTTTTCTTCAAGCCCTTCAAAATAACTGTCCACGGCAGACATCAACTCGCTATTATTTTCAAATCTTTGTCCGCCTAAAAAATTTTGAGCTTAGGGAATAGATGAAAGTCAGATGGCGCCAGATCAGGAGAATAAGCTGGGTTTGGTAGCAAATCATAATTTTATTCTTTGAATTTTACCATCGCAGTGATGCACGTGTGAACGCGCGCATTATCCTGATGAAAGAAATTTATTTTATTTTTTTAGCCAGGCGGGTTTTTTTTCACGAATACACACTTGTAAATAATCCAGAAGATCAGCATAATATTCGCCATTTATGTTTTGTTCTTTTGGAAGGTAATCAATCATCAATATACCCTTCGAATCCCAAAATACTGACGCCATGACATTCCCCGCTGATTTCACGGCTTTTGCTTTTTTTGGAGCCGGGGATCCTTTTGTCCGTCCATTATTTAGACTGAATTTTTGATTCAGGTATATAGTGGTGAACCCAAGTCTCGTCTGTAGTAACAAACCGTCGCAGAAAATCAGTTGTTTTGCTCTTAAAGCGGTCCAAACATTTTTGTGATATTTGCATACGAACGCGTTTTTGGTCAACTGTAAGCAATTGCGGCAACCACCTTGCGGATAATTTTTTATACATAATTCTTGAGTCAAAATGTAATGCGCCCGTTCTTTAGAAATGCCTACAGTATCAGCTATCTCGGAAAGTTTCAATCTTCGGTCAGCTAAAACTGCTTCATGAATTTTGATCACAATTTCTGGAGTAGTGGCACTTTTTGGACGCTGGACGATGTTCATCTTGGGTGCTGGTATGGCCACGTTTAAATTCAGCCACCCAATTTTTTATGGTCGCATATGAAGGAGCATTTTCTCCCAAAACATCCTTCATCTCCGAAAAAATCTTGCCACCTTTTAATCCTTTTAAATGCAAAAACTTTATCACAGCTAGTAGCTCAATTTTATCCATTTTGCAGAAAAAACAAAAGAATGCTTTTTGAAATGTCAATATTTAAAAGAAAAACTATACGATCGATTTGAAATTTGGAACACTGGCAGCCAATGAACCAATGAGTAAAAAACTAAGGATATTTTTTATCATTATTATACAAAATATGGGTTGGGCTAGCTACTTATCATCCCGCCCTCGTAGTTAGTTCAATAATAATATGAAAACAAAAGTTTTTTATTATGATTTGTAATAACGAGTAAAATTTCAGTCTTCAAAATAAAAATCTTTTGTATTCGAAAAAATACAACGAATTTTCTAAAAAAAAGAAAAGCAAAAAAAAAGTATCTCTTATTTGGTTTAAAAAACCTTTTGGGTATGAAAAATAACCGTCATCCGATTTGTGAACTTACGCAGGGTAACCCTCCTAAAATTTAATACACATGTGTATTTTATGCATGGTCGCTTGTTCTGTTCATCTGTTCTTTCACAATTCGTAGCGAGACGTTAGCCGTTGCGTGTGCGTTCGTGTTAGTTCAACGGATGACAACGGAAGTTGATTTACTTACGAGTTAAAAAAATCGTCTAGAAGAGGTTAGTTTAATTTTTTACATAAAAAAGGTTTCTGTTGTTGGCGGTTAACATGCATACTCCTTTTTGGGCTCGATTCATAGATTGTTTCTTATATTTTTATGTAGGTACTTTTGAGCTGGTTAAGGGCATTTGATATATTTTACATAATTTATCGTTTCTTATGTCAACGTACTATAAATCAATATTGCCATTAAATATCAATGTCGAAGTAGTATATTGCACAATGGCTATGATATACATCTACAGAAATGTTATAGATAGGTTAAGTTGTAACTTCGTTTGTTTGTAGTGGGTAATCATCAGAAATACAGAAGATTCTTTCACTTTAGTAAAGCAAATCTAACGCGGTGGATTAAGGCTATAATATACGTTGCAAGAGAACAGCTTATATTAAATAAAATCGTTTGACGATGAGTGGAATAAACTAAGCAAAGTAGGGTTGCCAATCGTACTTTAATATATAGTATTGTGCTAAGTATATTTTGCGTCTGCGTTGGAGAAATATTAGTATGCAAAAAACTATATTTCCAACACAAAAATGTAACAAATAAATTCTTCATTTTAAAATATGAACGCGATAAATGCGACAGCGTTATTTATTTATATCATAACGTAATTGTAATATTATAAGTAGTTTTATATAAAAAATTGAGTATAGAAATGGACATTTACTTTCAATTCCAATGACATTGGTTAATAAAAAAAATCTATGAAAATGTAAAAAAATTGTATTGAGTTTTCGATAAGTTTAGATGTGTCAGTGTTTGTTTCTTAATTAGGTCAAAATGGTTGTACGAATTTGAATGAGGGGCAGAGATATACTCTAGAATACCATGTAAGCTATTTAACTCCTGGAAAATTATATAGTACTATTCTTATTGTATGTATGTATATATGTATTTTAATAGTCCATTTTGAAATACTATATTTTGCTGAACAAATGTCGGCAACCCTTAAGCAAAGCGAGTGACGTCATTACCGGATGCCCCCAAAATAGTGATTTTTATCATTTTTACAACGTCCTCTTTGACAACAGTCAATAAGTCTTTATTGGGTATAAAACTATGAGCTGATTGATGAATTGAATGAATGACTTTAGTGGATTAATTTATTGTTTCAAATAAATAGGTATTCAAATTTATTATATCGAGTTATTTAAATGCTGATGTCTAAAATATAGGATCGTGTTTTACTGTATCCTGTTCGCATAGAAACAATGCTATTGTTATGATTACAGTGTATATATCTAGATTTTATATACTGTGTCAGGGTTTCTCAAACTTTGTCTTCACCAATCCTATAAAAGATTCCAGATAACAGCGATCTCCTTAATTAACTAATATTTAAATTAATTGTTGGAGAAAATAATGAAACGTCACAGATACAGTGCCAAAAGAATTATCTCTTTAAGTTATTGTAACGGGTGGTCTTATTTTTGTCGCAAATTTAGTTAATTCTAGGAGTAATGTTGGACAATTTTAACCTTTACCATCAGTCGAGCCAACGTTTAATATATCTTGTCGCGAACTTCTTACACCGTATGGCGAACCCCTAGCTAGGGGTCCGCGTACCTCACTTTGAGAAATTTATTATTGTTATGTAAGTCGCGTCAGTGCCGGCGGGCGGCATGTTCATGTTTCAGTCTGCGTTAAATAATGTCTATTCTTGGTACTCGTTAGTGCAGTTTATACAATAACATTTTTTAACATATTCTAGGTAGGTAATTTTTTTTAACTTTATGGAAACTTTATCATTCATAAAATCTGTGCGTTTATAAGTTTTGACTTTTTTAGAACACAGGCCAAGTTTTATTTTTGTTTTTTAATTATTACGCATTTGTATTTAGAAATTGATATGTGTTTCTATATGAATTGTATATTTTTAATTCATATTTATTTTAACAATCGGTCTACCAAATATCGGTCGGAACTAAAGGAAGAACGAGGAAAATCAAAGACCGGCTTTTGATTATATCGTTCAATAATAGAATTTGAGCCTAGATATTACTAATATAAATTGAGGAATTATCCTTTCTATGCAGATTGCAGACTTACGCTAAGTTGGATAAACGCTCATTAACTTATAATGACGACTTTAAACTCTAATTAATGTTCTAAATGAATATTATATTTAAATGATAACTTTAAAGTAACAATAAAAGTTTTTACATTTTAGGAACCATGAACAACGATACTCTTCCACTGTACCCTGGGCCACCTGGCCATGTATCGCATCTTCCACTACAGGTGAGTACACCTAAATGAAGGTGATAGTAAATAAATTTAAGCAATAAAAGTTCCCCACTACCTGTAATGTGATGATTACGGCAATATGAAAGTCGAGCTTATTAATACAAATATCAAAAGTTTGAAATATATTCATTATAAAAAATTATTTAAGAAAACATGTATTTTATAATCCTATTAATATTATAAATGTGAAAGTTTCTTTGTTTGGATGTTTAGATGTTAGGATGTTTGTACGTCAATCACGCCGAAACTGCTGAACGGATTTTGATGAAATTTGGTATACAGATAGGGTGTTAGCTGACTTAGATAATAGGATACTTTTTATCCCACTAAACATTTCCCTAGGGTCCATGCGGGCGAAGCCGCTGGCGAAAGCTAGTGTGTTATAAAAAAAAAAACAAGAGTAAAAACCCTCCTTTAAAAGGTACACTCCTTAAAAGTGTTTTGTTATATTGAACCTTTAACGTCATGAGAGCGCTGTTGCTACGATGTATTTTTACGGAATAGAAAAACTAATCCGTTAACTTTTGTTACCTTAGTAATTAAAAATTGCTTAGATTATTTAATAGGTAGTCTTGATTTCTTAGGTTCTGTAGAATCTAAATGAAGATAAAAAGATAACATTACTATGACTAAATATACCTACTTGTATTTCGATAGATATTTGATTGATTCTACTTATTTATTAAACCCAAATCCAACATGGTTTAAGGGTTTATAATACTCTGTTTAACGTAGCCACATCTTTGTTTTCAAATAAAAAATAGGAAGCTAGGATTATAAATATTTATAAAAGAATTAGTTTTATTTTTTTTGACTGGTGAATTTTATATCGGCACATAAAGAAATAATAACACGTCAGGTTTATCATAACCGCAATGAATTTTGACCTCTATAAACACAATTTATAAAGTTCAAAATTAAGTATGAAAATTTTACATTTTGTAAAAGCTTACGTGATTAGACTTTACCACATGTTGCACATTTGCCTAAACGTACCTAAAAAGGTTAAGATCTTTGTTGTGTTGTGTTGGGGATTTATTATAGGAAAAAACTATGGGCCTCAAATGTAAGTGATTTGTTTATTTTAAGTGTTTCGAGTTTTGTTTTTCATGTGATATTGAATGGCAACTAAGAGTGAGTTATTTCTTTTTTTCTTATAAGGAAGTTGCTGTTAGGTTTTTCATATAGGTAATTATAAAAACCTAATGGTAACCTAACTGCATGGATTTTGTTAAAAGAGAATCCGAATTATTACATTTTCTAGTTTAAATTTTGATATTATATGTTTCTGCAACCTAACCATTGTTACCCTTTTTGGATTGTACAACCCTTTTTGTAGTCTTAGTGATAACACAGTCTTGTTGACTGTACATACTTACTGTACCAAGCTGTTATGTTAGACTTAATATAAATGCAGATCTCGTGACAAAAATTGAACTTTTGAAAGAATTACCTTTGTAGTACCTTAGTACTTTAACATACTGAAAAATTAAGTAACCTATAGATATTTATATTTATACTTAGGTAACTGCCGAGAATTACAAATCTCCATACAAATTCTTAACGCGCTTACTTATACTTACCACTCTGAATGTGAAAAATATGAATCGATTTGGGTCGCATGAAAAGCTGAGTGGGCCACATCTGACCTGAGAACCACATGTTTGATCCGTACACCAGCCGTATTAAAAAACGTCATAGTTTAAGGAGTAAATCTATTTTTTTTTAATTCGAATAAACAAACGTGCCTTTGTTTCAGAAGATTAATGACACGCCTTCTGATTCTTCGACTGTCACTGCTGTTGCTCCATCTCCAATGTTCACTAAAGTATGTATATTCAACAGAACGTCATCCTAATCAGTCAAATATTTTCACATTTTTTAAACCTTAATGTGGTGGTAACCTAATTGTGGGTGTAGTTCAAAATCTATTACGAAAATATGACATATTGTAGTCAACAGCATGTAAGAAGTACAGTAATAAGTATAGATACGTAAGAAGTATAGAACAGTAAATTAAATTTTAAGATTTTAATTTAATTTTAAACATTTAATTTACTGTTGTAACCTGGCGTGCGTCCGTGTGTACCAATTTACAATCATGCATTGTTCAATGCATGATTGTAAAGTGCTATTGCTCATTTTATCAGCATGAAGGTAAACATAGCACACATTTAAATTATACATACTTATATATTGTATTGTCGTCAGTCGCTCGGATTCCGAAAGGTTCGAATACCACATGGAACGTTTTGAAGTATTTTTAAGCAACTTTGCCAGCTTCTTTAGATCAGTGTTCCTGTATTTTGTTCCATGAATTTGTGACTTTTCTCACTATATAATGTTTATTATATTATCGTTACCGTCTGTCTTGTTATTTATGTTAGTGAGTCAGTGTTTCTGACGCACAAACAAAAACAAAAAGAGTCTCGCTAATTGAACTTGAATAATTTAAATATACAATCCACGCAAAGTTGTCGATAACAAAATCAGTATTGCATTGTGTAGTGAACATTATTAATTTGAAATCTGGGGACACGGCAGTGGTCCTCAAGTCGAACGCGAAGCAACATCGTACCATATTATTATTTTCTGGAACCATTTCGACGCATTTAGTTCCGAAGCTAAGCGAAAGCAATGTTTCGCATTTTCGACATTGACACACAGACTCACTGATCATCAAATTAGAACTGGTACTTCTAAATGACCTAGAGGGCTAGAATTTGGTACAGAGGTAAAGTTTAACGCCCATATAGAGGAAAAGCTATCAAAATTAGGATCATAGAAGACCTGGACTACCTGGTGATCCCGATGAGAAACCGTAAGAGTACACCCAAACTATAAGCGTTATCGACCGACTATCTTTGCAAAATTTATTATGCGTAAAGTGATTCTGCTTTTCATATACGAGTAAATATAAAATGAAATTAAAAGGAAAACTGTAAAATAATTTCCTATATCAATGCTATCACTATTTGCGTTAATGCGATGAATTGGGAATGGCATCAGCACACATCACTAAAGTGCGATGACTGTATTTTGAAACGCTTTAGCGACTTGATAGCAAGCTTATCTTATGTAGCGGAAACGCTCGCTGGTGCTCACTGCATTTTGAAACGCATTAATGATTTGTATTTCAAGCAACGTTAAATAGCGAAGTGGCAGCCGGCCGGTTAACAGTCGTTTACGATATTCTTCTACTGCGCAATGTGCGCATGCTATCGTTTGCTAGAGAGAGATTATTCGTTGATTTGGTGATCTGTATTTCGTGAAGTTTTTAAAGATTACTTGACCAATTCTTATTTTAATAATAATAATTCGAAAAAAGTCGTGTCCAACAAGAAAATCTAATAAGTCAATCAGCCCATGTCTTATCTGCAAAAAGAAACGAAATCGTTCTAGTGCGATTTCACTTCTTTTTGCAGATAACATTCTGTAAAAAATAGCCAAGTCACGTAACACATAAGTGGATGCAGAAAGTGCAGTAATGACTCGGTTTTACTTTTTCTAAAGATTTCACCATGGCAAGCTTCATGGAGACGTTGCTATTTTCTACAGTTATTCTTTAAACAGTGAATAAGTGCCTAGGTGGCTTATTGTGTGCTATTATAGACTTGATCCTGGGTTCGAGTTCATTTGTTCATGGCGTGCGACCGCCTCTCTAGCCATGAATCTAGCCACAGGATACATTAACGATGTTATGACAATATTCGTTATTCGTTTCATGATACTTCGTTGATATGTACTTACATTAATAACAACGAAAGAATAATGAAAAATTTTTGTTAAGGATTTCACAGCAGTGTCACAAACTTAGTCATCTGTCTCAAATATTTTCATAATAAAACGAACAAGTGCCATAATGTCGTTAAGATATTGTATCGAATGGCTAGATTCATGGCTCGAAATTTAGGGGGTCCCACCACTGTAATGGCAGATAAGAAAAAGTATTGACGTTATTTAAAAGTATTGACCAACTTATTACATTTCTGGAAATAACATACAGATAAAACTGACCTTCTAAACAACACAATTTAGTAATTCGATAAATAACAACTCTTTTTTCAGATGACATTACTGTTGGGTCCGGAAAACGCGGTGACAACTTGTCCTTTCTGCCAAGCCTCGGTGCGCACCAACATAAAACACACGACTACAACCCGTACACATATTACAGCTGTGCTGTGTTCCTTCATATGGTAACTTATAATTTATTTATTAATTACAGACAGAGGGTACAACTGAAACACTGAAACCATTATAATAGCAACATGTAGTCTGGAACTCTATCAATATGTGTAAACAGCATGCACAATCATAGTCATCATCATCATCACCTCAGGCCTTCCTTATGGATGATTAAGAATAAGAAGGATGGGCCATGACCCTCCATCATCATCATCATCATCATCATCATCAATTCAGCCGAGAGACACCCACTGCTGGGCATAGGCCTTCCCTAAAGATCTCCAAAGCGACATACCCTCCATGCTGGCACAATATTGGAGGGTATTAATGACTGCGAAAGCAGCCGGGACCAACAGATCAACGTGCCTTCCGAAGCACGGAGTAGAAACAATATTTTTTTGGTCACCCATCCCATGATCGACCATTGCGAAAGTTATTTAGCAACAATGATCGAGAGCCATGGCGCTTATCCACTACGCCACCGAGCTACTACAAAAAAACATTAAAATAATTAAAATTACCAGACCATTTATATCCCTATTATTGGTGCTCAAGCCTTTCCTTTAGATAGAATTGTATTAAATCGAATAGGGAGAATGGGTCATGTAAATATATCACGTAAAGGATGAGCAAAAAAACTTATCATCTCTTATAGAAGTAATGACATTTACCTAATTGAAAAATATTAGTTTAGTAAGTTAAACCGACTTCAAAAAGGAGGTTATTTTTGCTCCAATTTAACAAGAAATGGCTTAGATAATTAACATTAAAGTTGAGCAGTGGCAGCTCGCTACGTCACAGCTTCGTAGTACATGTTCATATGCATGACGTCTTGCGACATTTCAACTCAACGTATCGGTGTAATTGAATGATTACATAAAAAATAAAAAAAATATCTGATTTAATATTTTTCAATAATCTACCTGATGGACATCTCCATTAGTCGGTAGTTGATGTCTGAAGTCATAGTAAGTAGCGAGCATGTATGATATGAGATTTCATGGATTATGGATAGATAAATCGTTTATTGAACCACTACCATCACTACAATTCGAATTTTACAAACTTAGTTGGTGTATAGAAACATTAAAAATTACAACAGACAATGATTCACGCCACCCTACTAGAGTGTGAAGCAGTAATCAAAGAGGTATAACAGCTCAGTGTTGGATGTTCCAAATAGGAAACAGGCACTGATTTTCAGCTGTATCATAGTCGTTGTTTGGTCGCTAGAGTAGCTGTCAAAGTGAAAACGTGTGTATAAAGAATGTGTCTAATGACGCTCGGTTCTGAGTTGTAAGTGTAAGTTTTACGTAAACGCGTTTACTGTTGAGCGTGTTAAAAATTTGTATGGAGATTTGAAGCTAGGGGTGCCGATGCCGGTTTCCATGTGAACGTAAACGTCGAAAAATTTACACTAATCGCTCTGCTTGCTTCGCGTGCATCTGTAGTGCTAATCTGTTATATATAATGTCTCCTCTACACGTAGACGGATTCATCTGCGGACATCGGCGGACGCATCCGCAGATGAATCTCTACGAACCGTCCACACGTCTGAAGGTCGATCAGTCTGTGTTAGTTCTCGTCAGACGCAACACGTACGCAGGCAAAATGGATATCGAGACCATTTGGATTCCACAGGCAGTTTTCTGCTTGATACAGCTCCAGAAATTTAAAAGTTTCTTCAGTGCTCATGTTAGCCATTTTAACACGCAAAAAAAACTGTAATAATCACGCGTACAATCTCATTCGCTTCCCGATGAACACTGATGCGTCTTCAGACGTGTGGACAGACCGCTCGCTTGCGTCGATCGCTCGCCCTGGAACCCTTTGATCCGTGCCACAAAAACCGACAACTCGCGGATAAGTGTCGGACGCATCGGCCGACGTCAAATACCTACCACAGACGAGCAAATCACCCCCTCTATACGTCGGCGGACGCGTCTGCCGACGTCATCTGCAGATGAATTTGTCTACGTGTAGAGGAGACATAAAACAGCCTCGAATCCTACGATGAGCGCAGCGCTATCATCTCTATGCCTCTAACCTTGAACCTAGTAGTAAAGCTGTCACAGCGCTGTGTTCAACGTCGACTTAAAGCTTATTACAGACACCAATCTCAAGAAAAATGAAGTCTGTCAATCCCGTACTGCTAGTAATATGTGCGGTGTACCTGATTCAAGAGAGAAATAAAGTTATATTATTACTATTTTAGCTGGCGTGGTGATGATATATAGTTTTTATTATTGTTTCTTCCAGTTGCTGTTGCTGTATCCCATACTGCTGTGACTCTGCGAAGAACACTGACCACTACTGCCCCAGCTGCCTTAAATACATTGGCACTTATGAGAAGTAATCGCGATAGTCTCATTCAACAAAAATATAGATAGTTTATTTGGTAGTTTTTTTATAAGTTACCAAACGTAAAATAATTTTAATTTTTCCTTTTTAAATTAGGAATTTTTTGTCATTTGTAGTCATAGTTTATATGCATTTGTTTTTTGGCTATTAAAATAAGTTTTTGTGTTGTAAACAGGTACAATGTAAATGCTCTAATACAAAGATTGAATAAGTTCCTATCATTTTTTGTAATGTGTAATCAATGATACTAATATAAAATTTAAATAACGTGGAAGTGTCAATTTTCTTTATTATAATTAAATGCGAAAGTATGAATGATTTTCTGTATTTGTAGTTTCATAAGATTATAGAATTGTCCATGGCCATATTAAAACTTCCAAGTATAAACACACACACACAATCTCACAGTTTATGAACTTTGAAAAATGATAGCAATAATATGACAAAGCGTTTAGAAAATGTGTTTTTTTCGAAAAATACTAAAGGTAGGTATGCCGTGAATTTCTAATTCTACACATGTAAAGTAACTTGTCTTCAAATAAACGCATTTTAAACGTAATGTTTACTTCTAGATAAGTCGATAAGTCTTTGTGGCTTAGCATGCACTGCGAAATATTGCGGCTCAGAATTCACAGAATGAAATATATATATTGCCCACGATAATCTTTAACAAACAAATCTGCGTTTCACAGATTTACCCGGCGCGGCGTAATTAAATTTCTCGCGAATATTTTGCAGTATAAAGGTTCTTCTGACCATATTGGTAATATTGTCTGTTACTTAAAAACCGACAAATATCGCTAGTAATTTTATTCATCGCGCGTGTAAAACCGCCAAAACAAACACCGCGTGGCCATATTTCGCAGTGAGAGTTTCACCTCACGTTTAAATTAGTATAAGTAAGAATATCTTTTGGAATTCTCTTCATCTTTTGTAATAATATCATAATTATAATAAAAACTTATATGAAATAAGTTAAGACAAGTGTAAACACGCATCAAGGGTACATTGGTGTGTATTTTTAATTTACAATATAAATTTTATAGAAGTGTTATTTGTTTTTTAATATCAGTCAGATGCATTGTTGAGATTCCAAGAAAATCCTTGTTTTATAGAGTACCTTAAAAAACGACCAAGACAACCGGACCGGGAACGAACCTGGGACTTACGAGATGAGAGATGACACCTTGATATTAGCGTGCGAACTACTCGCTACGTAGATTTGAGTTTCAAATGAAATACGGCGATTTTTAGTACCTAGTCAGCACTATACTTACTTTCTTATATTGTTGTAGTTTAATATGTAAAGAAATAAAAACTTTATTCAAAAAATAGACCGACTTCAATCTTTTAAAAAGTGATAAACAATATTAGGTTGGGGAAAGTCTTTCCGCATAGTATGCATAAAATTGTAATAAAATCTTTCTGGTTATACCATTTGTATCTGGCTAGATTCGGTATCATTAAAAAGTTTAAATTTTAAATAAGATAACTCCGAATTCAAATTAGGAAAAAGTGTGATTTTCATTTGTTTTTCTTACTATCTAAATGAGTGACGATTATAAAGAAATTCGATATATAGAGCGCGGGGAACTTTCGATTTGGCGGGTTGGCACTTTCTATTCTTTTTTTATAATCAACTGACAAATCAACGGATTTGGATCCGGGGGGATTTGTCCCCCCGGCCGCTAGTTATATTACGATTTCTAATAACGAATCGGGAGCAGATACTGATGGCTCCTTTACTAACGTTTACCGAAAACGGGGTCGTCTTCAAATATGTGAACATTGTAATAAAAAAAAGACGTAAACATCATACATCAGACACACGTTCACTGGATTGTAATTATCAATTGATAAAACTTCAGAGTCTTTAGATACAACTCAAATCCAGGTACGTTACAAGACAGCTATATGATAAAAATGATGCAGCTCTGCTCTATGACTCTTCGCTCTGCATGTGCAAAGAGTCCAATTAACGTCAAACGACGGAACCAGTATGCACCCAATGACATGTGGCAGATTCCTAAAAAGTCACCCTTTTAACAATATTAGTAAAAGTAGCGTTATATAGATAGACCGTAATAAGATGATGTTTCTTTTTCAGTGTATAGCTAATAATTTCATTAACCATAATAGTTTGAATTCTAACAACTTTACGGCTTTAATACCTACCTTTAATACTACCTTTAATACCTCTCGGACCGCGGACGCGCTCGGATGTGTCGAGTAGTTGCAATTGTTTCTAATACAACCACATAAACTGAGAACCTAACTTGATAAGTAAAATGTCGAAGACACATAGAACACCTCCAGAGAGTGGCGTCCAGCATGTGGCTTCCGAAGGTGATATCTGCAGCCTCGACCCTGAAAATATATTTAGTTACAAAAGTAAGAGATCAAAGAGACTAAGGACTGATAACCAAAACAAAAATGATGAACTGTGCTCGGATATAACAGAATTAAAACTGCAGAATTCTAAGATTCAGTCTGCAAGTATGGAAATGGAAAAATCTATGCACTTTATGTCTAGACAATATGATGAGATAAAAGATAATCTCTTCAGTATGGAACGTGAAAGAAAGGAAAATATGAAGTATATATCGATTTTAGAAAATAAGATTCATGATATGGAAAAGAAACTTAAGTCCACAGTTATTGAGGTTAGAAATATTCCTTTGAACTCGTCACAGATAAGGCAGGAGACACAACAAGAACTGTGTGAATTATTTCAAAAAACATGCGATGCAGTTAAAGTACCAATTCAACAATCTGAGATAAAGGATATCTATAGGGTTAATAATAAATATGGCACTGTTCTCATAACGGACCTGAATAGTGTCATCACCAAAAATAAAGTCTTGAACGCAGTAAGAGAACACAATAAGAATAACTCCAATAACAAACTTTCAACAACGCTAATTGGATTACCAGGCCCAAAGACTCCAATCTATATAAATGAGAGTTTGACTAAAAAGGACCAACGACTCTTCGCTCTAGCCCGTGATACTGCCAAATCACTGCAATACAAGTACTGTTGGACTAATATGGGAAGAATCTACATGCGTAAGGGTGATGGCTTCCCGCGTACTGAAGTGAAAAATGAAGAAGATATGGAGGTACTGAAGAAAGCATGACTGAAATTATGTTTGTGTTCTTTATTAATTTCCGTTTATTTTGTATTACTTATATTTTTCTCCCGGTGTATCACCGACTTTGCACTCATTACAAGCATACCCACCATATATTTTTATTTGCCACAAAGAATTACTTTTGTATTAAAAAATAATTTATTTTTAATGAAAAACTCAAAAGGTATTCATAATGTGCGTTTTAAATGCGGTATTGAATTTTTATATTGTATCTTAAAAAGTAAACAAGCCTATCGATGTGAAATAAAGACTTTTCTAGTGATTTTAAATCAATATGTTAATATTACCGAGCGGGTTCGTTTTATGATGCATAAGTGTTGTTTCATTGACATTGGACTTAAACAGTGATTTTATTTATGATGATCGGGATTGCCATAAGGATTACTTTTATTCGTTAAATTCGCAGCGTTAAATGGTTTTATCGACGAATTAGACAGTGTTACATTTTGCGAGGCGGTATTGTGTCAACCCGAGGTTTGTACCAAATACTTATCTACATTTCAATCGAATCTTACTATACTTTCTCAGAACATTCGTAGTATAAATGCAAATTTCTGTGGATTTTCCTTGGTTATTGAACGAATGAAAATTTTATGTGATGTTTATATTTTATCAGAATGTTGGCTTTCATGTAATCCTGTTGTACCGGTTTTAGATGGATACGATTCATACAAAACGTTAAGAACTTATAATCAAAATGATGGAGTGGTAGTTTTCATCAGAAATTCCTTGTCAAATATAAAAGTTTATGAACCAATTGTTTCGGATTTCAATTGTTTAGTGATTACGGTACGATCTGATTTGGCTATAATTGCAATATATAGACCGTATGCATTTACTGATTTAACAACATTTCTACAGTGCTTGGATGTTTTACTCATGGATCTTAAATCGTATAAAAATATTATTTTAACAGGTGACATTAATATTGATATTACCCCCGATTGCCAAGCTAATTCTACACTAGCATATCTTGATCTTCTTGCTCATCACGGATTTTTTTTAGGACACACTTTGCAAACCCATAACACTACATGTTTAGACCACTCTAATTTAAAAACAAGACTCCCTGCCTTAGTCCTCGTTTTTGAAACGACTGTTACTGATCACTATGCAGTTTTTACCGCCCTATCAATAAAAAAACCTAAACTAAACCAACGGCTTACATTTAATAAGGTAGATGATATCAAACTAGGTGCTGATTTAGAAGCAATTGATTTCAGTTCAGTCTATTCCACTCAAGATCCCAATATTGCTCTAACACACCTTATAAATCCAATTTCTTTAACTTTGTCCAATAACACCAAGATAGTGTCAATATCTCGGAAACGTAGACCTATTAAACCCTGGATTACCCCAGGATTATTAAAATGTATGAGACACAGAGATTATTTATCTAAGCAATTTAAAAAACACTCATCAAACGAAGTGTTAAAGATTTCATACAAAAATTACCGAAACTTCTGCACGGCACTGTTAAGAAACTGAATACGAGAAATCTGAATTTGAGAAGGCTGGTGGCAATTCTAAGCTACTGTGGAAAGTTATACAAGATGTGACAAATTTTAAGAAGCCTCCATCGTCGGCAATTAATCTTTTAAACACACACTCAAACAACTTGAACTCCCTTAATGATATTAATTTTTATTTTGCCAATAGTGGTCGACGTCTGGCTGAGAAAATATCTAATCAGTCCCAGTATTACAATACTACACTGCCCCCACCAAGTGGTAGATCTTTTGCAATGCTCGAAACAGACAAGATGGAGGTCGAGGGATTGATCAGCTCATTGAAAAATAATTGTGCCGTAGGCTGCGATGGCTTATCTTCAAAATTTTTAAAAACACATAAAAATATTATTGTTCCTCCCCTTACGTATATCTGCAATCTATGTATTACATCAGGTATCTTTCCAGATTTATTTAAAGTGGCTGTTCTCCACCCTATCTTCAAATCTGGCGACCGAGACCGTGTTGAAAATTATAGACCTATCTCTGTCTTACCTGCAATGTCTAAAATACTCGAAAAGCTCATTAACTTGAGACTTGTCGCATACTTGGAATCATGTAATTTACTATCAAATAACCAATATGGTTTCAGAAAAAACTTATCCACCGCTGATACAGTACATGGTTTAGTAGATCACATTGTACAGAAACTGGACGCAAACGATAAATGCGTCGCATTATTCCTCGATCTAGCAAAGGCGTTCGACACGGTCTCGGTACCTATACTTCTGTCAAAGTTGGAGGCTATGGGAATAAGAGGCGCACAGCTGTCATTGTTCCATAGCTATCTTTCAAATAGATCGCAATGTGTAAAGATAGGGACATACACTAGTTCCCAAATTCCCATGTCGGTCCTAGTCTATTTTTAATCTATATTAACGACTTGTGTAACCTTAATCTCCAAAATGGTGCTATATTTTCATACGCTGACGATACAGCCTTGGTATTTTCTTCTAAGACATGGGACGAAACATATCACTTTGCACAGAAAGGATTTGATATAGTCAATCAATGGCTTAACAACAACTTACTTACCTTAAATTTTAGTAAAACCAAGTCGATGAACTTTTCGATTCGTGGTGTGGCTCCTGGTATCCTAGCTTCATTTAATATAGCCGGTCAACAATCACTAACAGTTAATACTGACATAATAATTGAAAACGTGACATCTATTCGTTATCTTGGTGTGATGATTGACTGTCAACTGTCTTTCAAACCCCATATAGTTCTTCTTTCTAGTAGAGTTCGAAAGCTTATTTTCATCTTTAAACAGCTTCGACTTTCTGCGGGTGCTGAGACTATGAAAATGGCTTATATGGCACTTTGTGAGTCTATCCTGAGATATTGCATAACCACCTGGGGTGGGGCAGCTAAGTCACATTTAATGTTAGCTGAACGTGCGCAACGCGCTGTCCTTAAGGTTTGCTGTAGTAAGCCCCGCTTGTACCCTACTGACATGCTTTATGAATTTTGTCAAGTTCTAACAGTCAGACAACTTTATGTACTAGCTACTACCTTAAGGCAACATTTTTCAACAATTTACGTTCAAGGCAAGTCTCGTCGTAATAATCTAGTAGTCACAACAAAAAAAATGAATACATCTTTTGCCCAGAGATTTTTTGTTTTTAATGGACCACATCTTTATAACAAATTGAACAAATTTTTATCTTTCTATGCCCTAAATCGTCATACGTTTAAAGTGGTTACCAGAGATTGGCTTCTTAAACAGTCTTATGCACAAACTGAGTCACTACTTGTCGCCTTGGTGTGATCGATACTGGTTATGGCATTATAGACTTCATCGAAGTCCTTTCTCTAGATTTTGCGTGAAATAGTAACAAACATGCGTACATCCATACACCCTCACATATATCCATATTCTTTATATTGAACCAGCTAATAATCAAACATATGTAACACACTTTGCCCACTTTTGGTTGCAGCTTGTTTAGAAGTTGTTTCTTTGTTCAAACCAATCAAGTTGGTTGACCTATAGCTTACGCGCCCTCTTAACTACATTTCTTAATTTGTCTGTAATTTTTTTCTTATTTTATGTATTATACATTTGAACTTTTATGTCGAAAATTGTAATTACCATTGAGAGGTGGGGACCTGGTGTCCTGTGCAAACAGGTTTTAATTACCTAAAACAGGCAACAGCGATCCACAACCAGAATTAGGTTTAAGATTTATTGTATTTTATAAGTGTAATAGTTTGTGGAGAGAAATAAATCTTATTATTATTAAAAATCTTATTATTATTATATCTTATTATTGCAAGACTCTTGCTGCAAGACCAAGACTGGGAGCGCAAGACCAAGACCAGGTGTATTGGCGTAAGACCAAGACCAAGACTGGCCAAGTCTCGTCTTGTTCTTGCATTTGGGCAACACTATATCAAATCGTAAAACAAACGTAGAAAAATGTAAAAGTTGTGAAGTTTTTTATGAATTGTTTTTATTTGTAAAATAAATAAGTTGTATCCCAATTGGGTTTTATTAAGTATTTAATTAATAACAATGTTTAATAATATAATAAAGTGTTTAATAAAAAAAGGGTTTAAACTAATGTAACGTGTATAAGTTTGGTACAAGTGTAGTAAATAGAGGTAAATTATCAAGTTTTTCAACATAAACATATCGTAGAAAGTATAGATAAAAAGTTTTTTTCTCAGCAACACACAATTACATCACGCATCTGGAGCAAATGCTACGGATGGTAGCAAGAATGGATAGTTTTTAGATACTGCTAGCGGGGTTATTCAAGAAACTGCTATTTAAGTCGGGCGGAGGTTTCCTGTAGGTTATTATTAATTAAGAGATAGCGGCCCGACTTCAATAGCAGTTTCTTGAATAAGTCGCTTTAAAGATAAGTATTATTTATTACTCTTAAAAAATTGTATGTTTTTAGTGATATTGATATTTTTTAATTTTGATATCCATTAAGTTGTCGAATAAAAAATAATTCTGAAAATCGGCCAACAATTGGCGGAAATAACAGTAAACATCCATAAAAAACATAAAATTTTATAAACATATTATAACCTCCTCCTTTTGGATTTTGAAGTTGGTTAAAAACTCAATACTTTTCAAATTAAGTGACACAGGTATTTATTCAACTTTTATATATTTATAATAAGAAATATCAGACGGATTAATGACTGTAAATTCATCCGCGACCAACGGCCTAACGTGCCTTCCAAAGTACAGAGTTGCTCAAGATAATAATTTTTTGATCGCATATTATGAATAAGCTTTTTCAATATGTGCAGTGTTGTTTATAAATGAACTTAAAGTTATAAATAGTTTTATTGTGATGTGTGTAGCGGAGAGCTTCGTTTCGATTGCCACGCCTCGCGAGACTCGTCCGGACCAGACTATAGTACATATACAAATGTATAATCATTAGGTTTGGTTTTCGGTAAACAAGAGCTCCGATCCCCTCGCACTAGCCGTCTGTTTTGTGATCTGTGCACTCGCCGTTCGACGTTGCTATTAACAAAACGTGTTGAGTTATTCTTTTTAAAGAAAACCTGTCTTTTCTGTGTTTCTTCCGTTGGAATATCTGAGAAAAAAGGTAAGTTATGATTATTATTTCTTTAGGATGTTCTATAATACTTTTTTGGTCTTTCGAACTACTTATATACCGACAAATAGTTTCAATGATAATGTTTTTATGTACTCTTTGGTGTGTTGTCATCGTGGAATATATTTATATGTCTCAGTTAAATGATGCGGTAGCTTTTTTTGGTTGAACATTTTCGTTTCCTTATTGATTTTTAATGACTCTTAAATTGTAAATTTTATCAAATGCGATTTTATTTGTATGAGATATTAATTAAAGCCAAATATTCATTCATTCTCATCCGTCCATCAGTATCGTCTTCTTATACCTTAGCCGAGGGGCTCGTACCGTACACCGGTTTCATATATGAGATTTTGAGTTCGATTCCCGATCAATGAACTATTTTGTCTCGTGTTTGGGTGTTATGCTGTCTTCATTCAGATAGATCAAATACTCCAATATTACACTATAGCTTCTTATGGAAACTCGCCATGTATGTGATGTTATTTAAAAATAAATATTATTTAATATTTATTCTTATTATTGAATATGTCTAGACGTATAGTTACGTTTGCATGTATATTATATTTCAGTCTAAATGTTTTTTCTTTGTATATCTACAATCTACACATATATTTTTAGAAACTTATGCAAAATAGTTTCTCATTGAAAAATGAAGTAAAAATAGACAAAGAAATCTTTTACAGGATCCGACTTCACTAGACTGATTTGTTGGATATATTATTTACTAGATTACCCGCTAGCGGTCCTTAGGGAACTGTTAAGTAGGAGAAATCTTCCGTTCAGTAGTTTTTGCATGAACAAGAATTTAAATAAAAAAAATCATCACAATATAAAATTCAAGTGTCTCAGTTTCAATACTACTCCGAAACTTGACCGAGTTTGATGCATATTTATATGGCAAAACCACGTTTGTAATTTTTTTTAGCTATTTACTTTTCGTATGTTGTAAAAAAACGTATGTAGAGCGATTACGCTGCCTGATATTGAATACTAAATTGCTGTAACTGCACAAAAACCAATAATGAACCAAAACTGAACCTTCTTTACTTTTTTATAGACCAGTGATATTTTTTAAAAAAACTGTTTTTGATTCTGGTGTAAAATTGCTATTTTCGAGATGCAGCAAATACCTACGCTTTGTAGCGTCGAGTGATGATTCCATTTGGCTTCAATAACATTATTCAACTTCATTCCATTTCATTGCTCTTCATTATACTTCATTGGTCTTTAGCGGACTACAGAGTACTTGATTATACTTCATGGGACATTATTATTCTCCAGTAAATTTGATTACATTAAATTTTTAATGCCCTTATGTGTCTTCACACAAATTATATTTATGAATTCAAATTATCCTAAATCATAAATTACACTCTTCTCTTCTGTTCTTAACGAATTCAAATCATTATATCCCTTTCGTTTGCATTTTGTTGAGCAGCTCTTAATAAAATTATTTTTTTCTGAACATTAGAAGAATTATTTCATTTTGATTCGACGTTTTTATGGGAACATTTATTTTCGCTTTTTAATGATACCTAAATGTGGCATAGAGACTGACGTTTCTGATTTTTTTTTAAACGGGCAAATCGGAAAGTCATCAAATTATTGTCGTCTCGGCTAAGAATATTTTTTAAGTAATGATAGAAGAGAAACGAACCCACAAACAGACTTGTTTTAATCAACTATGATTTCGCTAAACAACTTCCGCATTCCAATATTTCTCATTATGATAGATCATAATTAAGGCAACTGTACAGAAAACCAATTTTTTATTCTCTATTTGAAAATATGTAAAGCTATTGTATCGGTAATTCAGATATCAGAAATCCGTTTATAAAACAGAAAATTATAATATTAAGTCGTTAAAATCGCTATTTTGTTTATTTACAGGAACAATATGGATAACAGTGGTCCACCATTATACCCAGAAGTTTATCCTATCGCAAAGGTAATTTATTTTAATACCAATTCGATTATTGTGTAAGTAACATCTATATGTATTGCTTTTAAAAATGTAGAGTAAAATCTATACAAATAAATAAAATTGAAGTGCCTGTTTGTAATATTAAAATAACCGCAATTTACTAAATGTATATATATGCACACACGGTACACAGAATACCAAACCGAAATAACAATCTTTTAAATTTTTTGTCGGCCTGTTCGTTCCGTCTAATCTCTGAAGCTGCTGGACCGATTTATTGTACATATAAAATTTGTACATTTATATAATAAGAAGTAACTTAGGCTATTTTCCACGCGGACGAAGTAGTGGTTACAGCGAGTGAACATTCTGACAGATTAATATTTCTATTCCATGAGTCAACAATTCATAATACGTTAGTTTTATAAACTTGAGAATGTACGCATATCTGCTTTCGTATAAAAAAATATTTTTATTATCCTAATAATTACATAGACGATACCACAGAATATCAATATACTTTTCACACATACATAAGTATACAGTTAAGAGTATGGCGAGCAAATCCTCGCACGAATTTAAATTATACTTAATTTAAAAAAAAAGGTAGATGAAAACAATAAAATGATATAAAAAGAAATTGGTATAAAGTTATGTAATCCTTAATTATGATATTTATATGTAATTATATTTGCTAACAAAGTATTATTTACTACTCTAGATTGAGCGGAAAGACAATGCCCCTCACGGACCACAGGCTTCTTCGGGATCTATCCAGGTGAGCATCATGATGAATTCGTTTGTGATACAATTATAAAACGTATGAGTTAACTTCCATGGTTGATTCATACGCACGTCGTGTTGATCATCTCTGGTGTCCCGGATTCGATTCCGGGTCAATGTAGAAAATGAACTTCTTTTACTCTTTCTGGTTTATAGTGTTTTCATGGTTTAAAATATATATGTATTTATATAGATATATATATGTAATAATATAATATATACATATATATATATATATATATATATATATATATATATATATACATATATAATATAATCATAAACTGGTTTACATGCATTACATTTACATCTGAGCATTTACATGATAAAATTTTAAAAGTTTTATGTAAAACCTTTATTAAGTGAACACAGCATGCATAATCCACACTTTGTTTGTTACATTACAATTTACATACTATTTTTCATATTTAAGAAAATGTTTAATTAAATACAAGATCTTTAGCTTCTTATTTTGGGAATTTGTGATGGTGACCAAAAAATGATTATCTCGAGCTACTCCGTGCTTCGGAAGGCACGTTAAGCCGTTGGTCCCGGCTGCATTTGCAGTCGTCAAAACCCTCCAATCCGCATTGGGCTAGCGTGGAAGGTCATGGCCCATCCTCCTTAACCATCCATAAGGAAGGCCTGAGTCCCTGCAGTAGGGACGTAAAAGGGCTGGTGATGGTGATGATGCAATGTCCTCTATGATGTCGTGTCGTTCAGAAAAATGAACACAGAATCTGTAAAGGTTCCAAAACATAAATAAAACTAAATACAAACGCGATGAAACCGTTTAAAGGGTTGTTTCATTTATATTTATAATTTATACATGTACCTAATGTATTTATATAAAGTTCTATTTCAATGACCGAGAATATCAATTTAGTGATAGTGTTAGTATTTAGTCCGATGTGTCATCACTTTAAATGCTGTAAGTTATTTAGGTATCTTTCAAAGAAAAAAATAATACATACATAGGTATTTACAATAATTTATTCAAATGTTTATGTTAATGTAGAAGGAAAAGTATATCTAATTATTAAGAGTTTTTTCCAGAGTTGCGAGAAGTACGAATATTATCTAATGTTTTCCTCTTTCATACACATTATATACTTTAATTTTTGACATGTTATGTTATAATATTAATGTACAGTTAACAGCATGTCAGGCTAAGCAAAACTATCAAATTCCTCCACTTCATTTTATGCCTAAATACATTATAGGTATAGTTCAAAATCAATTGAAGATATTTGAGATATTGTCTGTTAGTTAATATAAAAAACGACCATTATTTACAATGGCATTTGAAAATAATAAACGTTAAATTTTGTAATCAGACAGCTTTGTGAGGAAATTATTCAAATAGTTTTTTTTTGTTTCAGCTTTAGATTTTTTTTATACAGTTTATTATTTTTTGTTTTAGGCAAAAAATTTGTGTAAAATTAAAAAAATTGTATTAGGCAAAAAATTTAGCATGCACTTCTTGGTACACATATGAGTCAATTATGATACCTACCTACTTTAATAAACTACAGATAAAATTGTTGCTAATATACTAGAAGTAACAAATTAAGGTGTTTCTGAAAATAGTATCAATAAGCAAATCGAGGCTTTTAAATCGGCTAGTACAGTGGTTCCGAAAGTTGATTGGGCTCTGACTGATCTAACAAATTTTCCTATCTTAGGACCCACCTCTTACACTCGTATCTACAGTTGATACTTGTGTAGAAATAATTACTTGAGAAAATATCATAAATTAAGCAAATATTTAAAAAAAAGTAATACTATCATTAACTAATTATAATAGCATTCTAACTTTTCAGAAATCTTACTTCATTCAAATTCTTGTTAATTGGTTTAAATTATACCTTGAATTGTGTCATTTTATATTTAATGAAAATTGCTTAAAATATCTACTTTGTCTCTGGTACTCTAAGATGGGATCTCATCTCAAAGTGTTAGGGAAGGTGGAGTTTTAAACAGTTTTCATTAAGAATATATTAGGTCTTTACCTATGAAATTGCCGTTTTTCATGAAATAAATGAAACGTATTTTTTTTTCTATATTTTTTATTTCTATTAATCAAAGTATGAGTGATCATGCAATTAATGCATGCATTGGTAGCTTATTGATGCCCTTCTTGAAGAAATCAGTTGGACGGGAAGCAACAAATTCTTCAAAGGCATTTTGTACTGCCTCTCGGGTATCGATTTTTATGCCGCCAAGAGATATCTAAATTCTGGTAAAAGTAGAAGTCTGTAGGCGCAAAGTCTGGTGGAGGATGACTGAGAATTTCCAACCATTCGTTTGTAGTGTTCACGTCGTTGATGTTGCGTGCCGCTCCTGCCGCTTTGCTGCCACGACGGTACTCATACTTCATAATTACTCGAATTTTTAACTTATTCATGACGTCGAAAAATGTTCGAATGCGTTGAAAACACTAACTATTTAACAAATGACGATTTTAGAAAAAACAATTACATGCTTTTCAAATAAAATAAATTTGAAATTAGAATTATCAGTCAAAAAAATAAATATTTTGATTTGAAATGTCCAGTACGGCAGAACGGCAATTTTATAGGTAAAGACATATTATTTACCAGTATAGCATTGTGAATGCTAAATTCATCAAATGTAATAGTTAATGTGATTTTCTCAATTAATTACTTCTATCGACTTTATATATGAGTGTATTTGTCTTCGAGAAAAAGAAAGCATATAAACATAGGCGTAACTGGCGTTTTTTAGGGCAGGGTGGGGTAGGCAAAAAGTATAGAGACTTTTTCAAATGCTTTTTAATGATAACCTTATTTCGATAATAACCTGCGAGCATTCTAAGAACCATTAGTTATTAAATGAGTGAAAAATAAATTTTTATTAAGTTATATCAAATTTTACATCCATGCTGGTATCCATCCATAATAGTAATTGATTTTTTTTTACAAAATATACTTAATTACACTATTCGATAGTAAATTTCAAGCTGTATCTACAGGTAAAACTCATATCATTGTCTCCCCTGACATACAAGAAGTTCCTAGTTCATGCAATGGTGTTATTTTGATATATTTTATATAATTATCTCTATGCCGTGTTCGTAAGTATTTGAATAAAGTATTTATTATTTTTGTTTTACTAGCAGAGGTTCGATTTCATGTCTTCACATAATTAATTTCAAGTCAGGGTTGAGGGTGAGGCAACCGCCCGACCTTGATCACTATGTATACCCATGGGCGTAAATATTTTTCTTTTACAGTGACGAATTGCCTATTACGGCCTATTTAATATTACCAAAGTTTCGGAAAAACTGGGCTAATATGACCATTGGGAAATACTGGTCAAGCGTAAATTTGAGTGCCCTTTAGTTTTAAAGGGAATATGACCCTCGATACTACCACGTTCCCTCTAATTAAAAGAATATACAAATGTTTTATTTTCCTGTATTCTTTATACCTACTAGAAGGAACTGGGTAGCTTTGTGACAAATACTTACCAATATTTTTCAATTCAACATTGATATACCGTAAATTCGTAAATTTTAATACCATAGTCTAAGAGAGTTCACTATGCAATTGGTTTTCCGAGTTCAAATAAATGTTGATTAAGACAGTTTTTGTATACGAATTCCAAATGACAATCTGGATTTTCTTTTTCTCCTAGACGGCATCTCTGCTGGGTCCCGAAAATACGGTGACAGTGTGTCAGTTCTGTCATGCATCCATCAAGACTGCTGTGAAGTATACCACCACCTCACGCACACATATCGCGGCTGCGCTATGGGGCATGCTATGGTAAACTTAATGTGGTAATCGTATTGTAATAGAGCTCGATGGCGAGTAGTTAGCGCGCTCACTCTGCGCTACGGTGGTTAAGAAACTTTCGCAATGGCTGTTCATAGGATGGGTGACCAAAAATGTATAAACACGAGCTCCTTTGTGCTTCGGAACGCACGTTAAGATGTCGCTGATACCCACCAATCCACTCCTGCGTGGTGGGATCATGGCCCATTCATCATCATCATCATCATCAGCCCTTTTTACGTCCCCACTGCAGGGGCTCAGGCCTTCCTTATGGATGGTTAAGGAGGATAGGCCATGACCCTCCACGCTGGCCCAATGCGAATTGGAGGGTATTAACGACTGCAAATGCAGCCGGGACCAACGGCTTAGCGTGCCTTCCGAAGCACGGAATAGATCGAGATAATAATTTTTTGGTCACCCATCCCGTGACCGACCCTTGCGAAAGTTGCTTAACGACTACGATCACGGGCCGCGGCGCTTATCCACTACGCCACCGAGCTACTCATTTCCCATTGGCGCATTCTCCCTAGTCGAATTTGATTCGATTCTATTCATAGGAAAGCCTGAGTTCCAGCGGTGGAGACATTAATAGACTAGTGATTATCGAGATAGATTCATTCAAATAATTTTAATCTGCAATATTGATTTTAAATGTTTTTACCCTCGAATAACCGGCAAAGTGAGGATCTGACTCGGGCACTGAGGGTTCAATGAGGAAGTATTTAAAAAAAAATAGTTCCCGAAATCAAACTAGATGTCACTACGGTACGTTTCCGGTTTTCTTTCAAGTTTAAAAGTAAATTAGGTTTCAAACCTAAGTTTCGAACTTTTCAAATTTCAGTTTTTTAATATGTTAGTTGAAAGGAACGGAAATGACTGTCTCTGGTCCATTCGTTTCCTGCAAAAATCAACTTTTGCTAGAGTCGCCATCTAGTGGACTTCCACCTGTTAATTACAGTTTGTTTCTTTGAATTTATAACTTCAAATACTTAGTTATCTATTAAACATTAAAGAAACTACTTATGAAATTTATTCTGATCATTTGTAATCTCAATAAAATTGAATATTACCATTAATATATTTTCAGTTGTCTTTGCTGCGTGCCATATGGTGCAGACTCAGCTAAGAACTCTGACCACTACTGTCCCAATTGCCAACGGTACCTCGGCACCTACGTCAAGTAATGACTGAAGATTTACAGATTTACAAGATGAATTTATTTTAATATGTCTTCTAGTTAAAAATAATATACCTATATTATTTTTATATAAAATGTATTACCACTATAATGGTATTGTATACCAGCATTTATTACCAATTAATTATAGACAGTTTAAACCAGAACATCGTGGGAAACTTTTTTCATTATAAAAACATAGTAAATTATATTTTTTGAGAACGTCAAAATATGTTCTGGCGATGTCTCTTGCATTTACATTTGAATTTGTTACTCGACTGTTTTATAACTCACTAATAAGTTAGCGTACAAAATGCAGTCGAGTATAATTTTTACGACAGACAACATAGATTTTTTCGCATTTATATGTGTATTTAGATACAATTTCTACGTTATAATAATAACTGTCCTTATCAAGATAAAAATATATAATACATATTTAAAAAAATAGGTGAATAAATTTACATTAGTATATTTCAATTTATAAATGTCGCAGCGAACTGGTTAAACAGCCGTTCAATTGGGCGGCTAGCCATTTAAGTGTATGGCGTCATTCCATGCTTCCACCAAACTTCGAAATCGTGATAAATATAATATAAACGTCTGAATCTCAGTATATCTTGTCTTTGTGTTATTGTATTAGTATTAAGAATTTACTATGAAATATTAAGCTTAACCCACTTGCGTTATGGGTGTGTATGTTAGCTAACAGCATTGGATCATATGGACAATATCACCTAGTCGCGAATGAGTAACGTCATGTCTTTTTAATGAGCAGTCCTGTATCTGTATCAATTACAGATCATAACAATGAGTTTTTAATTTAAGTGTTGTGTAACTCATGCGTCTTTAGTGAGGGTGTGTGAGGGCCTCGTTTTACCTCATGAGGTACTCGTGAGGTCATTTGAGGTGAGGTAAAGAGAATGAGTATGTAGCTAGGCGCAAGGCAAATGAGGGAGAGAGTCGGTCGCTACTTTGAGTGCACCTTGCATTCGCCGGCCGAGCCAAGTGAAACATTTGTGATTAAAATTGATCGAATATTTAATACTATAATAATTACTTAATATTGTAAAAATATTTTCTTTCGCAGAATGAATGCCCTTTGGTTATTTATTAATATATTTCTTCACTCAATAATAATAATTATTTTTTTTTAATTTATTTTACTCACTTCACCTCACATTACTTCGACCGATTAATATTATTCATTTAAGAATATATACTAATTGCGAGGAAATGTTAAACTAAACTGAATCATTTTATCAAACTCATAATACCGAGCTACTCCCTCGATCAATCGTTAATATGTTGATTATGTATTGACTCAACGTTTCATTCGAAGCAACTCACTATTCTGCTGAGCGAGGTGTGATAATATATTATTATCATTTTTCAACTTTGAACTATGTTAATAGTTGTGATATATCATTATCATTTTTCAAATTTGAACTATGTTTATAGTTCAAAGCTAGCCGTCCAATTGGTCTGCTGATTAAACCACTTGGCTGCGACATAAATATACCGTGTGCCTCAATATCAGTGCCTGATTATAAATTAATTATTATAATATATATCTGACAGTTATTAAGACGTTGTTTTATTTTATCGACATACCTAATTTTATTTTATTCTTATTGGAGAGCTTACAGCATTATTTACAATATAATTACACCTATAATACTTAAAGGCTCATAACAAGCTTCCGCATATATGCAGAAAATTTGTTGTAATATTATTTATGTTAAATTAATGAAACCGGATAACATCTGTATGCAGATACAACTATGCACTGTAATCACAATATGCTAGAGACATGCTCGTCGATGATTTCAACACGGAATCGTACCTTCAAGATAGGAACTTAATACGTTTTTGATATGTCCTGTCGTGTTATTGAAAAGGTCGAATCGACTATCATTATTCAACTTTGTATTCAGTTTGTTGATCAAATTACTAATTCTAATTAATATGATGTTACTCCTAAATTTCTTATGTGCAAAAGGAGAGCGAAGTAAAATATTTTTTAGACGACGATTTTTAAGTTCGGTATTTTGATCTGAATTTTGCTCAAGAGTTCCGTATAATCTATAGTTCCTTAAGCAATGTTAAGTAGAAAACAAACATCAGTGATTTTTCTGCGCAATGACAGGGAAAGGAGATGCAAACGTGAGCAACGCTGTTCGTAGGTTGACATGGGAATCTTAAAACTGGCGCAAATAAAACGCAAAAATTTCCTCTCAATATTTTCCAAGCTAGAAACATATAAATCATATCCTGTGTTCCAAATCTGAGAAGCATACTCGAGATGACTTCGAACGTAAGCACAATACAGTATTTTAAGCGTTTTCATTCTTTTAAACGGTTTTGAAGACCTAATTAAAAAACCCAGAGCCTTATAAGATTTGTCGTCGATGTATTCAATATGTTTGTCAAATAACAACTTGTGATCACGAATCACCCCAAGATCCCGAACGCTCAGTCTATTATCCGTTTTTTGACATTTAAGCACACAATCGTAACAAACAAAGGAAGTTCATGACTTTTTTGAGTCAAAGACAGCGAACAGAAACTTTTTTGTTCAAAGCGGCTAAATAGCTGGACCTAGTCTTAAATAACTCAAAATAAGCTTTTTATGTTAACGTTGTAACGTGTAAATTTCGGTCTTACACCCTACATTGTGACCCATTTACGAGCCATCTGTGAACCAGAATACGCTTCCTGTTTTACAAAGCTCGTGTGCCTCTGACCATACAGCGGTCCCTTTTAAGATAAGCTTTTTAAGGATTTCCAACTTTCACTTTCTGGTAATACAAAATAGTCCCTATTGTTGTTTTATACGGATTTACCAATAGGTTATTCTCTGTGCACCATTTGTCGATGATATTCAGAGATGTCTGTATTATAGATGATACAGTGCTTTGACATGGACCAATGACGCAAGCTACCACGTCATCCGCGTAGCTTTGTATAACTAGGCCCTTTTCAGAGGCTTGTGCTAACAATTGATCAACCACTAAAGACCATAATAGTGGCGATAGGACGCCGCTTTGAGGGCAACCTCTTGTGGTTTTGTAATCTTTTGTTGTTCTGTGCAGGTTAATGTTAGCCGTTCTGTTTAGGAGCATTGCTTCGACCCATTTTGTCGTTGTGTTATCGATTCCTTTGTCCTTCATTCCTTAGGATAAGGTTTCAATGGTGACATTATCGAATGCTCCTTCAATGTCTAGGAAGGAACAGGCTATCTGTTTGTCTTCAATAGCCCCTTCAATTCTATCTGTAAGTTTTAGTAAGGCAGTTTCTGTGGATTTGTCTTTTGGATATGCGTGTTGTTTGCATGCAAATGACAACAACACGCATATCCAATTTTTTTTTTAAAACTCGTAAGATATGGTTATGCATATGTCAATAACCTTTTCCCTACTTTCGAAAAACGAGGAAACGAGGTCAGGCTTATTGATCTAAAAAGATTTCGGTTGAGCATAATCCATTTTACCAGTCTTGGGAATAAACCGGACTTTTACCGTTGTCCACTTTTCTGGTATATATCCCCAGGCATACCTGGTCGTATTGATTTTTACCAATATATGTGTGTAAATATGTCATCCTCACCAGTAGATTGATATGTTTTAAAATACTCTATTGCCCAGTTTACGATGTTTGGCCTGATATATTTTGCTGCTCTCTTCAGTTTTCGTTTGTCGGCCTGGAGATACATTCATAAGGCATACTCTTTATAGTCTTTTTGCTTTTCTTATTTCTTTGTTGTACGCGCTTAGGGCATTAGAATATCGGTCCCAGTTTCTTGCCCCAATTTACTGAGTTCGTTATTCCACTATGGTATATTATTGTCCCTTTTAATCTTCAGGGGACTACTTTACTCGTGGGAGGCTTTCATGGTTTTGGTTATCTGATCGACAGTGTATTAGTGATGTATTTACGCCTTTCTTTCGTCGGCGATATCACGTGTCTGAACAGGTGATGGTCTGTTTTATGCGAATAATCACGCGCAAGGTGATGCAAAATTTGAAGTACATGTGATCTTTCAACTACGTCGTAGCAGTACGTGGCAATAGGTAATGACGCATTTACCTAATTACGTTATAACCTTTATCTCTAATCAAAGAAATGAAAAAAGGTGATAAACAACTAAATAGGCAAATAAAAATTAGTGCCAGGACTGTCCACATACTAATATTATAAAGAGGAAAGATTTATTGTTTGTTTGTTTGCATTGAATGGGCTCTGAAACTACTGGACCGATTTTCAAAATGTTTTACCTACGGGAAGCTACATTATACGTGGATAATATAAGCTATAATAAACGCGGGGGCGAAGCTGCGATAAAACAGTTAGTTCGTTATTAATAATTTTGACGTTAAACTAAAGTAGACTGAAAAGGTTATTGGTTCATTTTTATGCTCCAGTAAAAAACCCAAATGTCATTACAACTAACACCATATTAATTTGGTTTTCATTTATATATGACGATGATCAGTAACAGCTCTGCGATGTATTCGTCATGTCCAGTGCCGAATTAAGGCGGGGCACGTAGCAAATCATCCTCCTCCCACGAAACGAAAAGTCATCCTTTGCTTACCGAATGACACAGTACAACTAATCTGTTAGTTTCATTTATCAATTAATAATATAATAATAATATAATGTTCGTACTTAAAAATATGACTAGTCAGAAATTATTTATGAAAGCTCTGAGGCTCCCAATTGCGCGGGGACCGTAGCATTTGCTATTTTTGCTACGTGACTAATCCAGCCCTGTCTATCTTTCTGATTTTAATTGAGGCCTCAGTTAATTAATCGGTTAACCAATTAACATCTCCATTGGTCATAAACTGGTACTAAACTAAGTAAAAGATAGATTAAGCATATATACTAGATCTGGTCCATCACAGGGTATCTGGCACTGGTTAATTTTATTAGGCATTTTTCGTTCTAGATAAGTATATATTCTAAATACAACATGTTAAAAAAATGATGTTAACAAAACTCATAGTAATAAAGAATCTACTATTCAATTCGGGCAGAGATTTTCTGTAGGTTATTAATTAAATGATAGGCCCGACTTCAAGAGTAGTTTCTCTAAATCTCAGTCACATACTTTGTAAGCTCTCCTTACTGTAAGTTAGTAAGATTTTGACTCGTGCTGACACTGGCGCCCGAGGCAACCGCCCCGCTTGCCCCTCCCCTAGATCCGTGCTTGAGATTATTTGATCTATTATTCATCACTTTTTTAAAGTATAAAGTCTGTAAATTTTTTTGAAAAAAATATTTCATGCTTTTTTTGTGTTTTTATTATTTTTTATATAATAGGTACCTACGACGCTACTTGTTGCTTAGTTAAAAGGAGCAATATCATTTACTACACCACGTTTGTAGACGTGACGTAATAGCGCCCCTTGTTTTCGTTTGGCGAATAACAGCAAAGCATGTGAATGAAATATCAGTTTGAAGGTCAACGAAATCCCATCGCTGCGTCTCCGTCGCGGCGGCGCCGTCGGTCAGTCTTTATTTATATTCAGCTATTAAAGTATGTACGTGCAAAAAGAGGTTTTTTAACACATCGGACGAGTTGATAAATAAAACTGGAAATTACACTTCGATTAGGTATTTATTTAATACAAAACGGTTAGTTTTCCGGTTATAATTTTGCTTTTGCTGTTCTGTTTTCCTTATAATGTATATAATACCTAATCTACCAATGCTCAGCATGTTACGGTTTTAGTTACACTATTTTTTAGTTAAGGAAGAAGTATACCTATGAGAGCTCGGTGGCGTAGTTGATAAGCGCCGCGGCCCGCGATCGTAGTCGTTAAGCAACTTTCTCAAGGGTCGGTCACGGGATGGGTGACCAAAAAGTTATTATCTCGAGCTACTCCGTGCTTCGGAAGGCACGTTAAGCCGTTGGTCCCGGCTGCATTTGCAGTTGTTAATACCCTCCAATCCGCATTGGGCCAGCGTGGAGGGTCATGGCCCATCCTCCTTAACCATCCATAAGGAAGGCCTGAGCCCCTGCAGTGGGGACGTAAAAGGGCTGGTGATGTGATACCTATGAGTAGTCCTACGAGCATATAGACGGCAAGTACCTAGAGGATGCAGGTTCGCGAAATATAGTTTTTTTTTGGTATTATGTCTAACTAGTGGACGCCCGCGACTTCGTCCGCGTGGAAGTCGGTATCCCGTGGGAGTGAGAAGTTTTCCCAGTAAAAAGTACCCTATGTGTTATTCTGATGTATAACCTATATTGCTGTAAAGTTTTATCCAAATCCGTCCAGTAGTTTTTTCGTGAAAGAGTAACAAACATCCATACATCCATACTTACAAACTTTCGCCTTTATAATATTAATAGGATAGGATAGAGTGTGTAGGTTACAGAATTGAGATATAATTATTAAACTACTCTGTAGTAGGTATTTTATTTTTGTTTGAGGTTAAGATTAATGTAACGTCGGATAAAATATGCAAGTTACAATATACTTAAATATAGGTAAGTACTTACCTGGTTACTTATTTTTTCGTATTCGTGCAAAAAAGTAACACGAGTTAAAACTTTTTGTTATTTTATTTTTC